TGAGTTGCTAACTGGAGGGTATTAGTGGAATCCTGCAATATCTCCCAGATGTGCTAYTTGGGATGGGATGAGCTGCAGTTCCTTGGGCTGTGGGGGACGCACACAAATGCATCTGGCTGCATCTGCAAGCTTCTCCAATCCCTCTGTTCCATAGCCCTCTGATGGTCCAGGTTGATGTCACTTAATCTTTCTCATTAAAGAGCTTTGTTGGTTATCTTTTAGTAAGAAATGAACCCMAGAAATCAGGATTGCCTGACAGCACACTGCTGTGCTGGTGTATCGGTGGAAGGAATCTGTGATGTAACAAGGAATATGCCTCCAAGCCTTTCCTCAAATTTAATAAACTTCCAGTGAATGACTGCTGATCAAAAATGAGAATGTTCATCTAAGACAACCCTTATGAAGAGCCTGTTAATCATGGAGAATAAAAGCYCAATAAATTTTGCCTACTGTATTTGCTGACATTATTATTGGTTTTTATATTAATTTATTTTGTGCCTGTAATTTTTCTATTGCTTGCTTTGGTAGGAAACTCRGGGGTAAATTTCTTTACATATATGAAATCGATAGCTAGCTGCAAAAAGAAAAGCAGATGGCAGCTAAGAAGAAGTACCAGATGTACATTTCTTCATCTTTTGTATGGGTTGAGACACCCAGGAACATAAATTTCTATTGTTCACAGTAGAGAAGTTCATTACCTGTATTTTAAAATTCGGAACTTTTTTTCTGATACTTATGAGCGCTTACATATTCCTCTCAGTACATCAAAAAATTGAACCCAGGTCATTTACAAACATGCCTACTGTGGGCAGTCATATTCCCAAATGGGGGTGGCCAGGTAAACCCCTGGAGCTGCAAACAAATTTTGGGCAAGTGCCTCGTGTTGCAAATGCTTTTCCTTCAGCTGGCTTTATCTTGTGGGGAGACTGGGCAAATGTAGCTTGAATGAGGACTGCATAGGAGGAAGAGGATGTTTACATTTTCCCTTGTGTTCTCTCACAGCGCTCCATCAAGATATTTAGGCATGTGACTCTTGAACTACTTTCTTTCAAGTCCAGCTYATTGASRTTTGTTTAATATCCATCTAAAATAGTTCACTTCTAGCTCAGATGGAACTTCAGGTCTTTTGTTCTGAAATCCCTTTYTTAAGCTGCTGTGGTTTTCTTTTTTATACATCCCTAGGAGAAAAAGACCTGGTGCACTACTGTCTTATAGGTTTTCTCTTCATGGAGAGGTCAACTTTTGCATTAAAAATCACAACCAAGARTTAAATGTTTCATTATAAAATGAAATTTATTATTTTTTCCTTTACAGACTGATGTACAAGGTTTGAAACATTAAAATTGGGAGATCTGGAAGTCTTAACTCTGTGTCTGATGTACCTGAAAATTCTAGGATTGTTTTGGAATTGCTGAAATTTTGGCAAGATTCCACATTCTCCATTTCAGACTCTWGACCTTGGCCTCAGGTTTTCCAAAGATGGATTGACTTGTGGGGTTTTAAAGGGGGGGCTTAGGTCCCATTATGAGGTTTGGAAGAGGGACATAACTAGGAATTGGTATCACGGAGATAATGCAGCTAGGAGTGTCCAAAAGCTAATAACACCCTGAAAATAACACTCTACAGCTGAGTTTCCTGTATTTGGTGAAATGCCCTGGACTGAAACAAAAAGGCTCCTTCTGAGCCATTTTTTTTGTACAAAGATGTAGTACCTGCAAGATGAATTTTAACTTTTGAAACAGTTGTGAAAACACACTATTCTTTCAATGGAACTTATGCGTCAGAAGAAACAATAACACCACTGCAAGTAAGGATACTGCATTTCTAATTGCTTTTTAACCTTCTCCAGCCTGAAAATTTAAGTATTAGATCCCTGCCTTGCTTCTGGAATTTGGATACAAAAAAAAATTTTTGTGGAGTGAATTAGTATCACCTTCTTCCCAGTGACTGATTTATAAGAGTATTTTGGCCTTTTCACAGCATTCAGGAAAACAGCTTTGTTAATGCTTAGGTATAAATAAGAAGTTTCTGGCTCTATCACTAATAGGAACATTCAGGAGACCCTAAATTTTCAATTTAGAGGGTAAATTTTAAAGGGATAGCATCAATCTTAAGCTAAGCTACACTGTAAACCTTGATACCAGTGTTCTGTTTTTATCTTTATATGTTGTCCATGAAATGTGGAAAGCCAGGGACTCACATCTTAAGTGAACTCCTGCAACAGATGTTTCTCCTGGTGTAACATTCTCTTGCTGGGCAGCTTTGTCCTTGGCCYTGCTTTTCACACAAATGGCTATAAATCAGAAGTAACACGCATGAAGCCTATGAAATACAGCAGGAGATAAATATCAAAGCTTTGCCTTCATACTGTCAGTTTGGTATGCTTTTCCCTTTCTTTTTTTAGGAAGGTACTTCTGGAGATAAATGTCCCCAGGATGCAAAGGAATTGGTTGTATCAGAATCAAACTGGTTTGATTTCACTGAGACCAGTGCAGCTGTAGCAAAGGAGGATTTGCCTTTGTTTTGATCTGTTGGAATAAACTTGCATCTTTCTGGAAAAAGCTTCCTCTCYTTATGGGARYWKGCTTTCATCCAGATCTTCTTTCCAYTGCCAGGCTTCCCCTCCTTTTCTCTGCAGTTCCTTGGTGTCTAGTTACTACTTCCGTGCAGGAAGCACACAATGCTGTGTGTGCAGAGCCATTGGATGACGCTCTGTGGGCACAGCAGCAGTGAAACCCATGATGAGCCAGCATTTCTCAGCACAGGATGAACTCAAACCTTTTCCTGAGGTTATTTGCTGGCAGCAGCTCTGCCTGCTGTATGCAGCCTAGGGTGCAACAGTAGGGAAAGGAAGAAGGGGAGAACAAAGCCTCTGTTTTTAAGGAATAACTGKTATCTTTGGATGGCCTTTGAGGTAATCCAAAATTTGAGGGGGACAAATGTTAAATGAAATCAGGTGTAGATCAATGTTTATACCTTCTTCCAAAAGACACTTAGGATGCTRATACTACACCTATTGCAGCCAGACAAAGTGTCACAACCCCTTCCCTGACACCAAGGCCACCCCACAGCCTGTGCCAGTGATCATGAAGGGCCACTGCTGCAAGCACTGGCACAGAGAATCTCAGGTGTATTTTCAGCATACAACATATAGTATGGACATGCATTCCTAAAGTCAAAGCCAGCTCTGCTGTTGCTTTGATAATGTTTGTTACAGTTTCCGCTGCACTYCTTCCTCTGGAAGTCCTATTTTTAAAAAGCTCTGTTGCTACAGTGTGTAGAACTTTAAGTCAGGCAGAGAAACTGGGAGAAATTTACCAAGCATCTGATCCTACAGATGAAAAGTAAAAATAAATCAGGCTTTTCTTTGCATGAGTGATAGAGGCAAGAAGAGSCTGAATTCTGACATAGGTAAATTTATTATTAAAGAGCAGATTTCTTGTAAACACCTGCTATCTGCAAATTCAGGACTACTTCCTGCAGTCTAAAATTCCACAATGCCTGCAATCATTGCTATCATTGCTCAGTTAAGCGCTCAGGGAAACCAAACAGCCAAATTAAGGGTCTGAAGCACRTGTCCATATTATTATCCATACTGTRAATAAGATCAGGAGCTGTGGCTTACATMAGTCAACTGGTCTTGARTAAAATACCAACTCCTAATTAGTGAGGGTACTTAAGACTAGTGGCTAAGTGTATCTACCACCCAGACAGATCTGATTAGGCTCCGACATATCCATGAACAATGTACAGTGTGTTATTTGCCAAACACATTCCAAACAATTTCCCACAGAAACCAGTAAAATACTATTAACATCATTAACAAACTTACATATTTATGCTTTGGAGAACAATCTGTCTTTTTATTGGGGGACACTGTTTGCAGCAGCAGAATTMTAAACTGTGACAAGGCCTGCCAGACACTGCTCCTGAGCCAACATGCACTGAGCAGGGTTTAAGGGAAGATTGCTTACTGAAGTGATATCTACCCGMCTGTGCACATGAGCCAGACAGCCAGTTTTCTGGGATATGTGTCAAATCAAATTTCAGAGGTTGAGTGGAAACAAAGAATGTTTTGCCTGCGGCTCTGGAGGCAATGAAGGACAGGGGTGGATGYACACACCCTGATAATGCACCATACTGGCCACCCTCTTCTGTAAGATGGGCCTCTGTCTCTGCCCATCCACCTCTTATCACTTCAGCACATTTCTCTGCATCGCCACTGCAAAGAGACAAATCTTACTATGGCAAGGGAAGGCCAGGGATTTCCCCAGAATGTGCTGGGAGTGGTGTGGCCTGTGTTCCAAGGTGCCCTGCCCTGTGCTCAGGAAGAGGGTTGAGGGATGAGACACAAAGCACCATTCCGTGCCCATCCAGCCTTGCCTGGGCCAGGCACAGCAGCCACCAAAATAATTACAGTRAGGAGGCAACGTTGCCCCTTCCTTGGGGATGTCATGGGCATTATTTACATCATGACCATCTCTATATGTTTCTCATGCAGACAAAGTCACAGAGCCTTTGTAAGTTCAGTTTAAAAGACTGAAAGAAGTGTGTGAGTGAGTGTGTGTGTGTGTGTGTGTGTGTGTGTGTGCGTGTATGCACAGATATATCACTCACATGTTGAGATGTGGGGATTGAAGCGGAGCAGGACAGGCACAAGAGTGCAGGTAAGGAACCATGAGAAAGACAAAGAAAACAGGAGCAGAAGCGTGAACAAAACAACCATCTCTATCCCTGTACATTCACAGGCACACCCTCGCAGCACCGCGGGCAGCCCGGGCCGCACCCCGCTCACCGAGCCCACCCCGCCATGCCCGCGCTGCCCCGTGAGGCCGGGCTCTCCATCTCTGTACATCCACACCCTCGCAGCACCGCGGGCAGCCCGGGCCGCACCCCGCTGACCGAGCCCACCCCGCCATGCCCGCGCTGCCCCGTGAGGCCGGACCCGCCCGCCCTCAGGGCCGCCTCCCGCCAAGCGCTGCTGCAGGGCCCGGCTCCGGGGCGGGGCGGCGCCGAGCGGAGCCACAGCCAGGTGACCTTGGAAGGCAGAGCCGGGCTGCTCCCGCTGCCGCTAGCGGGGAAGCTGGGTGGAGAGACCGCCGAGATGGTGGAGGACGGCGGCGAGGAGGAGGCAGAGGGGGAAAGCGGCGAGATGCCGGCGGCCGGGGCCCCGCTGCAGCGCTGCAATGGCTTCCTTCCCGGCAAGGAGGCGGCGGCCCCCGCGGGCGGCGGGGAACAGCCGGCCCCGGCGGCCCCGGAGGCCSAGGCGATGCTGGCAGCACCTTGCGAGCGGTCGGAGACGCGCCTTGAGACGCGGCTGTCGCGACGGCGGCTGGCGGTGCTGGCCGTTTTCAGCTGCTACTCGCTTGTGAACGCCTTCCAGTGGATCCAGTACAGCATCCTTAGCAACGTGTTCGCTGGCTTCTACGGCGTGTCCTTCACGGAAATCGACTGGCTCTCCATGGTGTACATGGTGGCCTACGTGCCGCTCATCCTGCCGGCCACCTGGCTGCTGGACGCCCGCGGTCTGCGSCTCACGGCGCTGCTGGGCTCGGGGCTCAACGCGCTGGGCGCCTGGCTCAAGTGCGGCAGCCTGGCCCCCGAGCGGTACCCCCTGACCCTCACCGCCCAGGCCGTGTGCGCCGTGGCCCAGGTCTTCATCCTCGGGCTGCCCTCCCGCATCGCCTCCGTCTGGTTCGGCCCCACAGAGGTCTCCACCGCCTGCGCCGTGGCTGTGCTGGGCAACCAGGTAGGGCTGGAGGGGAGCGAATGGGGTTTTGGAGGAGTGGGCTTCCTTGGAGTTCGGCATCGAGTTAAAAATAAGGTGGTTAAGTGGTAAATGGCTTTCTCCAGGAGATGGTTTTGGGACAGTGGACAGGTAAGGAAGCGGGCCAAGTGCAGGGTGATGCTGCGTCCCGCGCTGCCCGGCCAGCCTGGCTGTGCAGGAGCCTGGCCATGTGGCAGCGTGTGGCAGCYCACACAGCTTCCATCGGCTGCCGACAGCGCATCAGCCGAGACCTTTTTCAGAAGTGGTCCTGCTCCACTTCTTCTTGCATTTTGGCTTTTGGATTCATTTGACTGAATCCACCCCYAGTTGGAGGGGTGCGAAGTACGTGAACTTTCATGAAGAGCCCCACTGCCATCATATATTAGTTTCTGCTTTTTAAAATACGGCCTCTAATTGCCTGGTGCTAGTGGTCAATAATATCCTGGTGACTCATGAAGTTTTGTGTAATGCTGTGATAGTTCACATCACTGTGGGGAGTGATAACTGATTCTCAGATTTCTTCAAGCTCCCTGGTCCTGGCCAGTTTCAGACAGTTGGAATAGGTGCACCTGAAAGCACAGGTGCAGATATGATACTTGGGTTTTTCCTCCTACAGCCTTGTTCTCACTTCCTGCCACTGTCCTAGGTTTGGGGGTTTTTCTCCTGTGGCAAGAAATTGCTATGATTCAATTCAGCATCACCGGTGCAGGCTGAGGTCATAGGTAGAGTTTGGTTAAGGTAACGGGGAATGTGTTTTTTCTCACATGAGTCTAATGATTTTATGTATGTGCACTTTGGATTACTACAGAYATTCATGTTATATATTTACAGTTAGGGTGTAACCTAGCTGATTCCTCATTAGTTGGTACCTCGCTGCTTGTCGGTTTTCCAAAACAATTTTTTTGCACTGAAGTTTTCCAGGGGATGAGTCAACTGTTCCTTTTGGACTGAAGACTTCRGAAATTTGGCAGTTAGGCAAAAATTTTGGATCTGCACCCTGGAATCAGGTTAAAGTTTCTTCATCAGATAAATTTCCACTCTTCCTGACGTGCACTAGTCCTCCCAGTAGCAAGGAGTTACTAGATTTTCAGTTCTGCAATAGAGTGTCAAGTATCCAGCCTGGAGCCTGAKACTGATGTTTCTCTTGGATGCTGAGACGTGGGGGTTGAAGTGGCACAGGACAGGAGCAGGAGAACAGGGATTGTGTGGATAGGAAGCACGAGAAAGATGGGCAAGGGAAACAGGATCAGAATGTGACCAGAGTAAGCCGTAGTTATTTCTGGAGTGTACTCCCCTCCAGAAGCTAGGACTGATCTCAGTGTGCCTGCYCAAGTGCTTCCTGGTCCTCTGCCAACAGAACAACAGAATTTCTSTATTCTCAGGTTTCGCTTTCTTAAAAAGATCCCCAAAACTCTCAAAGGCTAGATTGAAAGAGTAGTGAGATGGCCAGTTAGGCACTTGGAAGTTAGAAGTAATGTTGTCTGTGCCTCGCATTGCAGTTCCCTTGTGCACACGCATTCCCGATGGGTCTCACTGTACAGGATAATTGCACAAGGTGAACTATGTAACAGAACAGGTTCCTTTAACCGACTGGGCTATTGGCCRTCTGATTGCTTATCAGATACTGTGTATAACTTCAGAGCCACAGCAAACAGAGCCGGCACTACAGGCAGGGGAGGAACAGAGCAGCTATCAAAAATTACATCTCACCTCTTGAGGTGCCAGTCATTTGCAGTTGGAACACAAATCGCTGGGAATGCAGCGATGTACCTGTCAAGGGTCGTTAGGAGTGCCAGATCTCCACAAGTATTTAGCATGTTAAATGAGGCGCCCCAGATTCATTGGAACACTTCGTTCTGGCTGATGGAAAATGGTATCACTCGACTTGGTTGGAATATTGTGGGTACTGTATTTCCTCCGGGGGAGGAAAAAACGATACCTAAAGAAAAAGTAACTGTGTACTCAGTTCATGTTTGTAGGGTTCATATACTGAAGGGTGAAGACAAAAGGAGACAAATTCTTCATGTGACCACTGGATACTGTGTAAACCTGATGGTCTGTGGGGAAAAAAAAGTAGCAAACCCCTCATCAGGGTATGCACAAAGGATGGTTTGTAAGTACAGTGCCACACCTCTAATGTGTGTGCTTTCTGACTGCGGGACTCGCTACTCTAACAGTCTTTGCTGCTCTCTTTTCCGTTTAATTTTACCTTAAATAAACGTTTTAACACTTTAAAATGCCATTACTTTTCGAGCAGCAAAAGAGAGTAATTGGGGAGTAGTCCAGGACTTGCTCCTTCATGTTTTAAAGTGCTATATATATACATACCCAAAATTTCAGTCCTTGTTTTTTTTTTTTTTTTTTTTTTTTGTCTCTTTAATACAAAATCTGTTGTTATGTTGGAATTTACTCCAGACACAAACCCGCTACTACTTCATTCTCTGTTTTTTTCTTTATTTCCTTAGCAGTAATTATTTGGTTTGGTTTTGTGTTTCTTTATGAGGTTATTAATTTTCTCTTGCGTTGCTCTGCTCTGTTTTGCAATAAATCTTGCAGTCAGACTCTGTTACTGTAGTTGGAGGAGTGTGACATAAAATGGAGAAGAGCATTTCTACAAGAGTWGCTGGAGTCTTGTGTTATCTCTAGCCCTTCAGTTGCAGGATGACTGACAAATTTATGTTCATGCATGACACTTTCTGTGAAAGGTTCTTGTGTAAGTACTAGGTGTAGTGTAACTATATACACTAAGTGCAGTATTTAYATATACTACTGAGTGTAGTAGTTTAATTGAGAAATGAAAATATTAAAACCTGAGTTATGGGAGATCTGATTGTAAAGTACCCTCGAGAGTAAATGGCACTGAAGTGTAATAAAACTATAGTTTTATTAATGCTTATTATGATAACAATTCTGAATTCCACCTGGTAAGACTTTTCACTTCTGATGATTTTTGTGTTCATAGGGAAATGATTTTTTATTTCTTTTCTTGCTTCACAGCTTGGTACTGCAATTGGCTTTTTGTTGCCACCTGTTTTGGTTCCAAATACCCCGAATGATATTGATCTTATGGCACATAACATCAGCATCATGTTCTATGGAACGGCAATAGTGTCCACACTTCTGTTCTTCTTAACAGGAGTTGGTAAGTGTTTAAATTACTGGAATTTCCATGCTGACTATTGGGAGTGTTTACAACATCTCACTTAAAGAAGCTGACTACTCAGAGTGGTTGAGGTTACAATTGTTCCAGTTTGTGTTCACTTGCCTGTGGTGCCAGGGTTAAGAAACAACAATTTCACACTGTGTCGTGCTTCACATGGGGTGATCTCATCAGAATATGTAGTTCTTTTCTTTGCTACAAGGACATTATGACATAATGTGAATTCACTCTGTTARTATTACAATTCAGATACGAAGGTCTCGACACTTTGCAGATGAAGTCTGTCTTTAACCATATTTTGGTAGCAATCAGATGTGACCAAATAACACATCCTTTGTGGATGTGACATAATTCTTCCATAAGAAAATCTGGAATATTTTTTCGTGGAGGTGTTAAAACCACAAATCGGTCTTCTGAAATTCATCAAGCTGAAACAGTTCCAAAACAAAAGAAAAAAAAGCACATTAGTTTGGTAGAGACGAATCAAAAATTGTTCCTTCTTTTTCTGCAGTGTTTGAAGAAAAACCCAAATACCCTCCTAGTCATTCTCAAGCAGTCCTGCAAACTAAACCTCCTGAGGATTACTCCTACAAGCAGTCCATTATTAACTTGTTAAAAAATATTCCATTTATACTTTTGCTGATCAGTTATGGTAAGTAGTGCTCTTGTCTGGTGGGACAGTTCAAATGTGGGCTAGAAGCACACAGAATTCAAATTGTGGGGGTTTTTTTATGGGGGAGGAAGTATCCAACTTCTATTTACTCAGGTGCCAGTGCCAGCAAATTTGTCAGAATACTAAATACCACTTATAGTTACAGTGAAGAGATTTTACCAGGCACATAAAAGGTTTTGTGTTGTGAGTCTCGAACATCAGATTAATTCTTTAGGGTAGCAGATCTGCATGGCTGCACTTGGAATGACTGAAGCTTTTTTCTTGGTACTGCAGGTATTATGACTGGGGCATTTTATTCTGTGTCCACTTTATTAAACCAGATGATAGTAACTCATTATGAGGTAAGTTTCTTGTATCTTATCTTTATCTTTTTCACTGTACATTTGCAGAGGTGATATTTATCTTGTAGATGCTATCTATGCTCAGACATTTGGTGTCTTCTATACCTCTGTACAGTTTCTTGTACCGCACAGCTGTGGGAGTCATAGGAATATTTGTTTGCACTTGTGACTGCCAAGTGGTCTGAACTTGACTCTGAGTGGAAGCAAGTTATTAATGAGCACCATATAAATATTTGTTGAAAGGGAGAAGAAGTGAACGCTGGGAGAATTGGCTTGACACTGGTGGTGGCAGGAATGGTGGGTTCGATTATTTGTGGTTTGTGGCTGGATTACACTAAAACATACAAGTAAGTGTGGGTAGGCATGTGTGGGCTAGGGGTAGGAGAGTGGTGCCATTGCATTAGGAAAATACTCCAATGTAAGGGCTGAAATGAGCTGCTGATGAAATGCAGTTCATTCCTGATCTTTTAATGGCCTTGATGGAGACAAGTKTCTGAGGCTACAGCAAAAGCCTGAGACTCTTACTAGTTATGGGGCAAAAGAAATGATGGAGCAGAATGCAAAGATGCAAAGGGTTTTTCCATCTACTCCTGTCTCTTCAGGAGTGTAAGACTAACAAGGAAAGCACTGTAGGGCCTGCATACATTGGCCAGGTGGCCCAGTGGGCTTCTTCTCCTAGGAAAGCATGAAGTTTCAAAGCCTACCCTGCATTTTGTAAAACGGCCAGTTGATGGATTATCACTGTTTTTACGCTAYTCCTGATCCTATTAGTAAGTGTAACATTTGTATTAATTCAGGGGATGACCATGGAGCAGCAGGTAGGAGCTCCTGGGTGCATCATCCATGGTGTGAGCACTGCCCTGGATCACTGTGATGGAGTAGATTTCCCTGGGATTCAGTAGATTATGGGCCTCTGCAAGCRTAATGGATGTTAATGCTGTAGATCGGCTTTGTTTCTGCATGTGTTTTGGCTTATAAATACATGCTTTAAGAATCTGGAAGACATCCCTTATTCCAGATTCAAAGTAAATAGAACACTGTAATAAGGTTTGTTTGGCTTGCCTCTTGGTAGGCTGACTTTTATCACTAATAGTGTTGGACTCAGCTGCTCCTGTGTTGACRTATTGTGTAAAGGGCAGCGCTGCAGAATGACCAAGAGGTACAACATAGTGGGGAATTAAAATAGTCTTAAGGTAGCACTGTGTGCTGTGATTATCCACTCTTTGCAGGTCTGAGTAAGTGTCCTTAGTCTTGAGTGAAGCAGCCAGATAACCAAGACAATTGAGAGTTTGAGAAGGATGTGTTCTCACTGCATGCTTTGTTTGAGTGAGAATTAYATGAGGCAAATTTTACACCTTTAGAATGTCAGTTGTTAGAGAGTATGTAATGTTCGTGTTATTCTTCCATGCTTCAGCAGTGTGCTATGGCCTTCTGCTAACAATGTTAATTTGTTGTTGTTGTTGGGTTGCAGGGAAACTACTTTTATTGTTTACATTCTCTCTTTCATTGGGTTGCTGGTGTTTACCTTCACCCTGGACCTCGGATACCTTATAGTAGTGTTCGTGACTGGAGGAGTACTTGGGTGAGCAATTAAAAAGCACTACAAGACTTACTACAGTTCTGTTCGGAAACATAYCTAAATGTTTTAACTAGATGATTCTGCTGTGTATTCTGTCACCATGATCTCATCCTGTGCCTATAGCTCACAGTACATGTAGTGTTTACTAGGATTTCACCTTCTGTTACATCAGAATAAATCTGAAGTAACTCACTTTTCAGTAAACTTCAATTGACATTTTTATGGACCTAAGAGAGGTCTCTATGTGGTCAGTTCGTTTGGTTCCAATTCAAAAAGCTGTCTGCAGTGAAGCTGAATCTTTCTTTTGACCAGTGTGTAGGTGATTACAGTTTAGCTGAGCAAATCTAGGAAGACTGGCTTCTCTGGATTTTGATTCATCTATACTTTGGCAGCCCAAGCAACATGCTGGTTGTTCCAGTGTACAGCCTCACTGCCTACTCATAGTCTCTTTTTGTCCTCCAGCATGGATATTGGGGCTGATCAAATGATGATATTTGTGTATATCTTTGGCTTCAATAATGGAGTGGCTTGTGGACTCTTTAGAAAAGGTTGTTTTWTGTGTCTGGAGTGGAATGCAGGAGTTTATGGGAAATAGGAGAAAACAGTTTTTAACAGCTTTGTCCTAAAGAGATAATGTGTAGCTAAAATTCTTGGATCATTTTGAGGGAAGGAAGCAATCAGTATTATTAGGAGTTATTGAATTATGTTAAGTCATGAAAACATGACAGTTCAGCATACCAACTAATTCATAATACGATGTGTGTATGTTAGGTTTTCTAAGGTGCAGTAATAGCTAAAGGCCACACCTGTCATTCTCTTACTCTCCTCTTCAACAGGTTCTTCATGACTGGCTACCTTCCACTTGGATTTGAATTTGCTGTGGAAATTACATATCCAGAGCCTGAAGGCACTTCCTCGGGTCTCCTTAATGCATCAGCACAGGTTACATCATTTTATTTCTTCAAGCGAAGTAATGTTCAGGAAGGCCACTGTGCTCGAGTCTAGGAAGGCTTTCTTAGACTTAGCTAAGCCTCTGTTGTGTTACTATAGTCCTATATTTTTTAAAAAATTTGGTTTCTATAAGATGAGACCTGTAACTTTTAAAGGTAAAATTATGACTCTCTTCTGTGTGATCCTGATGAAGTTACTTGTTCATTTATAGATATTTGGAATTGTCTTTACACTCGTTCAAGGAAAGCTCACAACAGACTACAGTCCTCGTGCAGGAAACCTCTTTCTTTGTGCTTGGATTTTTGTGGGCAGTATTTTAACAGGTAATTAGAAATGCAAGTAATGGTTTCTCTTTATTATAAAAAAGTGTATGTTTTTAGGGTAATGGTGCCCCCATTTCTTGAGATGTGTCTTGAATTTGAGACTGATGTCCATCTCCAGAGTGAGGTGGGAAATGGAAACAAATGCATAAATGGAGGCAGCTTTCACTTCTCCAAATGCAAGAAACTGCTGATGCATTCCACAACTGTACCAGTGCCTTACACATGTTGACTTACAAATGTGCTGAAAGTGTTGAGAATATCAAGCTTTGCTTTAAGTCCTTGTGGTTTAAAAGATCTTATTGTCATCTCCTGCTTTGTGTGCTTTGGAAGGAGCAACTTCACATTGTCAGTGATTTCAAACTGCAAAGAGCAAATATGGGTATTTTGAAAACGTRCTGAAAGCGGCTTCTGTGTGCTTGCACCATGCAAACATTTCCCTTGAAGTACATGTCACTGCAAAGTTGTGAACCAGCTTCCCTTTTTTCCTTTTTTTATTTCAGCCTTAATAAAATCAGATTTGCGAAGACACAGTGTGAATTCAGGGATTATGAACTTGGACATTAAACCTGTAAGTAGTGACTCTTTTACCATGATTATATTGTCTGCTTGAATGCTTGGCTTCTACTGGCATAACAGTATTAACTGCAAAAGAGAGCTGACAAAATCTTATGACTGTTTCCATGTTGTTTTTGAACAACAGAGCCACATGGGATGCTGCGTTCTGGGCAGATATCTGCTTTTCTCCTTAACTGTCATGTAAAAACTAAAAAAAAAACTGCTCTCAGACTTAATAAAAAATTTTTTTTTTAATATTTGTATTTTAAATGGCTAATAATATGATTTTATTGCTTGACACTTGCTTTTTCATATTAGCTGGTAGCATTGTAAATTATGAAACCTTTTTGTGTATTGGGTTATGAGGCCATCCTATAGACTACATATTTTATTGAAAATACTTGCAGTCCCTTCAAATGAAGTCAGTGTCTCATAAACAGAAGCCATACTGGAGTTTCTATACTGTGCTGCATAAAGAGCTGGGTTTGCTCTTCTGCCAAGCACCCTCTCAATTTAAATGAAGAGTGAGCATAATACTTTCTGATGATCATAGGGTTCCATGTTTCAGCAGCTTTTCCAAATTTCCACTGTTACTAGTAGAAATAAAACTCTCAGTGGAAAATTTTTTCAGTGTTGTGGGTTTTTTGGATCAAGATACAAGACGGGTTTTTGGAGTCAGACATTGCAAGATCTTCTGCCATGCTTCTTTTTGTGTAGGTGTTTTGCATGCACAGCAGCTTTTGATCATCTGTTACCAACTGCACACTGTGTCTGTATGATGTTCAGAAACTTCCAAGCTGGGGCTGTCTGAGCTAACTTGAGCCTGAAACCTGTGCAGCTGTGTGTGCTCAGTGTGGCATACTGTGGTTTCCCAGCCAGGGTTGGGGCTGTCTCGGGGTTGTACATGACTTGTCTGCTTTCCATTATTACCTCGTTAATTAGCCTAGACTGACACACAGCTTCATTTATTTTGGCCAGGGTGTAAGAGAATCTGGAGTCCTTGTCCTGATATTGCCATAAATAATTGAGACATACCTATGTTAATAATGTTCAATATCACTTTAATACAGAAGTGGTCATCGAGACTCTGCTGTGGCTAAATGTAATGGAGAAAAAAAWGTGAAGTTAATCTTCATGTGACAAATATTTACATACAGTAAATATATACTTTAGAGTTATACTAAGAAACTAAATCCTATGTTTGAGCTCTCTTTTTTATTACAAAAAGAAGGGAAAATAGAGCTTTCTATAACTGCTTAATCTGGCTAATTAACTACATGTACTTTTGGAGTCTAACCTAATAATTACCTAAGAATACTGAATTTGAGAATAGTTCTGTTGCTTTACAGCTTAATTCCTGTTGTGCTTTTATTTTTTTATCTCTCTCTTCAGGTACCAGTTGACAGTCCTGTAGAACCTGAAAGCACTACATTAAAGATTCAGTCAACTTTATAAAGCTGAAGAAAGGTGGCTTAGGAACACACAAGTTTGGTTAGATATGGAACAATATGAATTAGTGTAATCACTGGATTTGTATGTACAAATAGTAAAATGTGTTTGTTGATATTGGTGGTAGTTGTCTGTTGGAAGCTATGAAGATGCTCAGTTCATTTTGCCCAAGATGTGAACAATTCACCTTGATATGGAATATTTATTTTAACAGTTTGCAAGTTTTGCAGTTTCATTAGTAAAGGAACTGTATGAACAATCTCCACAGCAGGGAGAGGTGTATTCAGGATGCATACTTGAAAAAAATCAGGAATCCTGAACTACAGTTGTCATGATCAGAAATATCTAATCTTCTTTTCTTGTTCAGTCTTGCTGGTGCATTTGGAAAATCAAAAAGTAGGGAGGTGCACAGCAAGAAGATGTTCATGAGTTCCTTTTTTATTCTAAATGTATCTGTATTTTAATATAAACCAATGATTCCTTCTGGGAAAGTTATAGCACAATACTGAAAACAAGAGATGATGTGTGTGTTTCATATTGGCATCTGATACTTCTTTTGCCTTGAAACTTCTTTATAGTATCAGAAGGCAGATAAGAGAAAACACTGTTCCATAGCTTCATTGTAGCATTTCTGGGGAAATTTTAAAAGTTTCTCACTAGATAAACTGGAGAAAAAACATTTCTTATTAAATACAGTGAAAAGGAGGAGAAAGGCCTTTGCTATCTCTGTTGTGAAGTATTTATAAGGAACGGAACACTACCATACAAGTTTCCTCCATGGAATATTTTGAGTGCTTTCTCAGTTAAAGAGAGAGGAGTACGTGTTTACAAAGAGCCGGTGCCTTTACTTTGTAAAGAAGATCCCTGCCTCATCTTGAGTTTAATCAGTGCTGCTGAAGAAATTCCATTTTGTGTGTTAAACCTTCTCTGAATATTTGTGGAGTATCAGAAAATGTGTTCTGTCCTTTTTATGAATTGTATCACTTGTCTTGTGAAATTCTTGTGCTTTTGTAACTTAAATCATGTCTTTTGCAGTTTGTTAAAAGCTATAAGGATGACTGAAAGGAAAATAGTGATATTTTCACTTTCTCTGATCAAATATTTGCTTTTATACCATCTTACCTGCAAAATGACCAGTCTTCATTAACCTTCAGTTTTTGTTACTTCATTTATGTGTATTTGGGAGGAGGATTTCTCACTGCAATGCTTCTGAAAATGTTCTCCTTCACCTTGTGCTCTGTATACACACCCACAGAACTGATAGCATCACAATAATACTATTGCTGGGAAAGTCAGACCTGGACTTTTTGCCAACATTTAACTTTCAGCTCAGTAAGCTGAGTCTGAAAATTCAGTGTCATCAATGATGCTGTGTCTTCAAGTTCCCTCAGATGCAGTGCCATCCAGAAGGTGAATTCTCCTCAAAGTTTTCCACCAATTGTTACAGTTGGGTGTGGGGGACTATTTAACTCTGAGCTGGTTTCAGCTGGGCTAGAGTTCATTTTCTTCACAGTGGCTGGTATGGGGCTGTCTTTTGGATTTGTGCTGAACACAGGGTTGATAATAYAGAGATGTTTTTGTTGTTGCTGAGCAGGGCTTATGCAGAGCCAAGGCCTTTTCTGCTTTTCATACGTCAGAAAAGGCAAGGAGGTTGGGAGTGCATGGGAGGTTGGGAGGAGACACAGGCAGGACAAGTGACCCAAACTGACCAAGAGGATATTTGAGACCATATGACATCATATTCAGTATTTACAGTGGGAGGCAGAAGGAGGAAGAGAGAGATATTTGTAGTGATGGTGTTTTCTTCCCAAGTAGCCATTGCACTTGATGGGGCCCTGGGCTCTTCTGGGGATGGCTGAACATCTGTCTGCCCATGGGAAGCAGTAAATTAATTCCTTGTCTTGCTTTGCTTCTGTGTGTGGCTTCTGCTTTCCCTATTAAACTGTCTTTATCTCAACCCATGAGTTTTCCAGCTTTTACCCTTCTGATTCCCTTCCCAATCCCATTGGTGGGGAAGGGAGTGAGTGAGCAGCTGTTTGGGACTTTGTTGATGGCTGTGGTTAAACAACAGCAAACTCCAAGGTAGTCCTTAAGTACAATAAATATCATTAAGTGCTTTTCTTATTTCACTATAGACTTAGAGAATCTTTTGGTATAAAAAGGGCCCTGAAAACTTGATTTCTAAGTTTAGCCTCTAAATGTGATGATCTTGGTTTAAATATTTTGTATGATAAATGTTTTAGACAGGGTATCAGAATAAACTAAACCCACTTGGAATATTTGCCTTGCCAAAAAGGGTTCACGTCTCTTTGCCAGGTCTAGTGCTAGAGAAAATGGACAGACCTTGCTGCCTGGTGAGCTCCACTGCTGAAGTAGCTGAATATAGGAAAAGTATTCTTGGATATTCAAACAGCAAGCAAGGGTGTAGGAGTTGAAGTAGACATGCTTTCATTGTGTCAGTCCTTTACATTTCATGACTTGCTGTGATAGAAGCTGCCCCATCAAGGGATATACATGTTTTCAGCCTGAGTGATAAATGTGGAAGACTCTGCTTTGTTTCTTATGTGGGTGGCTTTTCTCTTTGGAAAAATGCTAATAATATGTGCCAAAATATATATATGTTTTTCAGCAAGATACAGATTCAGAAAATATTTATGTTCATGGCCCGTGTTTGCTTTGATTTTTGGTGTTGCAAAATCTTAACATGATAATATTTTTGCAGTTTTGGGGAATTGTTTTCAAATGTCCAGTAGAAAGTCTTTGGCAGCACCCAGAATGTTTGCTGACCTGTTCAGTACACATTGTTCAAATTCAGAGATTAAGTTCTTTTTTTCTTTCTTCAAATCTACTTTTTAATTCTTTCCTTCACTACTAGTTTCCAGTTTCTTCAATTATGGTCAGCTGATTATTGAAAAAATATTCTATTTCTGGCTCCTTGTTTTTTTTGTCTTCTGCCAAATTACTTGGCTACCTTCTGAAAAGGTCCAAACATGATTTTGGCATGCTGGAAATCCTGCTGGGTCACTGAAAAGAAAATATTCCTAATAATGAAGACTTAATTACATCCTGGACTTAATATTCTGCTTCTAAAAGGAGCTTTAAAGCTGGACACCTGCGAGCTATTTTCAGGCAATGATAAAGTATTTAAATGGAAGGCTCAGCAGCAGAATAAAGAGCAAATAAAGAGCACATCAGTGTTCTAAGTGATAACCTTACCATCTGCCTGTCAAGAAACTGAGGTTCTAGCACATGGCAGAAATAAATTTGGAGTAGTTGAGGCTTTGTGATTTTAATTTTTGGGTATAGCAGACAACATATACTCAATCGAACACAAATAAAGAATCATAGAATGTTAAGAAGCTGGAACCTTAAAGATCATCTAGTCACAACCCACCAGCCATGGTTCCTGCCAGGGACATTTCCCACTAGATCAGGTTGTTCAAACTGTATCCAGCCTAGCCATGAACATTGCCAGGATTGGGGTGTCCACAACCTGCCTGGGCAACCTGTTTCAATGTCGTATCATCCTCACAGTAAAAAAATTCTTCCTAATATCTAAATTAAATTTCCCCTCTTCCAGTTTATACCACTTCCCTCTTGTTCTGTCACCACAGTTCTTGACAAAGCATCCCTGTCTTCCCTGTGGTGTCTCTTCAGATACTGGAAGGTTACTATGAGTTCTCCATGCAATCTCCTCAGCCTAGAAATTCCACATGCATTTGGAATTGGAAATAAGGTTTCTAACTCTTAGTGTTGAGATCCTGGCCAGCCCTCCAGAATGAATAGAACTGGGGGCTAGAAATCTGAACTGTTTAAAGAGATAATCGTATCATGAATGGAATTACATATCATCTTGGAGAGGATGGTGTGGAAAACCAAATGAGGGGAGGCTTCCCGATCCCATGAATCAACTTTTGCTTTTCAATTTGCTTCTTTTTTTAAGTGTTTTAAGAGAACTCTAGAGGATGCAAGAGAACTCATGCAATGGGAAACTTAACATAGGGGCTGCCCCCAAGTTCCCAGGAGCCCAGCAGGGTGTGCAATCGATAACTTTCAGCTACAAGATTCAAAGGCTTGCTTTAAAATTAATTTTTCATTTCTTCCAAGCCATGTTAAACTTTTGGTAATTTCTGTGGAAGAGACTCGGAGAACATTGACCCATTTTTATTTAGGATTCTTAGCATGGCCTTAAATCCCTCATTTCTGCTGGCTGGGTCTGAAAATAACAGACCTGTAAGGCATAGTCTGGAATTGCTCATAGATAAACCCTCAGAACAAGTATTTTATAGAAGGGTGCTTGTCTTTAGTAACAACTCTCTCTTTTGCTAAATGCCCATGTTTCACAAGGAAGAAAGAACAAGGAAGGAAGTAGGAAGAATACATATGAATCATTCCACATTAATAGAGCTTTTCTAACTTCAGCCTCTTGGTCACCTCAAGGCAGTCTGGTTGTTTCAGAGACAATCAGTGGAGTGTGTAATTGGAGCTGCCAGACCATGTTGCCTGATGAAAAAAYGGCTTTTGAGAAATATTTGGGCTATCTTGTGCATCTACAACCAGGTGTAATTGGGTTAAGCTGTAAACATTTGTTTTCCTATTCCATTTTGTGARCTCACAATGTGAATGGGAATGTGTGACCTTTACAGTTGTTGTCTTTCAATGTGTATGTACCGCCTTCTCAAGTGTTACAGGCTACTAATGTTTCATGGAGCTCAAGCTGTCATTGTACACAGTAACATGTGATTGCCCCMAGCCCCACCATTTGGTCTGAAGTCTATGAAGAGGGAGAATGGATGTTAATGCAGGAACTAGAATGAATTAAGCAAAAAAATTTCCTAAGAAAAATGTATTTCTGTGTAAGACCCATGTTATTTACTGCTCATGTCTTTGTTCTACTTATGAAGATAACAAATATGTTTTGTGATAATATTTTGGTTTTGTTAGTGTCCARTTCTTTATTTCAAGAGAAAATTAAAAGTTCTTAATGCATATTCTCTGATTGCAATATTGTATGTATGTGTTACATGGATGGCATCATTCCTTACCATTATGTGTTACTAATAAAGTCTATAATGCCTAAATTGATTGGGGCCAAGATTAACATTTTTGACACTTGCTGATACAGCTGCTAATCTAAAAGTGATTTTTTTTCCTTAGAAACTGCCTTTTAATGTAGGAAAATGTGCAAGTGTATGACTTACTGTATCATTAATAAACATGCATGCACATGTACATGCAGAGTGCATGTATGCAGGGTGTAGAAATTTACACAAGAGTATTGGCATTCAGAGACATTTTCTCAGGGCATGGAATTAAAGTACTAGYATTGGTAACCAAGTTGCACTGCTCTAGCACAGAGATTTCCCCTTTGGTTTGGAAAAGGTCTGTGAGGAAAAGGAAGTGCAAGTGATCCAAAGGCAAATTCTTGAATGTAGTGCAAATATTATTTCAATAAAACACTTGGTTGCAGAGGATTATCAGGGGAGAAAGGGTAGGATAGCTTCTTAGAGAGGATAAGARTGTGACATTACATTCAGTTATGGCTAAAATCAGAGTTGTCTTCAGTGGGAGCACAGCAGAACCCTTGTGAACCAAGGGTTCTGTCACCTACCCTCAAGCATTTAGCCCAGCTGGGAGCCAGGCAAATTTGAGGAGCCTGCTTCAAAGAGAGTAGAGTCATGGCAAGAAAATGTTTTAGCTTTTTTGTCACTTATCCTCAAAGCTGGGATTCTCTCTCAGCTATTTTGGTATAGGAGATGCTTCAGAAAAGGAGGTTGCAGGTGCTGCACAGCACAGCAAACTCAAGCCTTTTGTCATAATGCAACACTAACACGTAGTTCAACACTGGGGAGGTGGGTTCTTTGTTTTACAGCCAGGACTACAGGCTCATGCACCCCTTATGGTACCTCTATCAAAGCTGCAGGCAATATCCCCATTTAGCACTGTTAATTTAAACATCCCCACAGCTAGGAAGGAACAATCACAGAAAGTTATTACTGTCTTAAAGTTTCTTTTGGTTGATT